TCCCTACCTGTGCTCATGCACTACAGGCATGTAGGAGCTTATAGAGACATTTAATATGTCTTAAATATGGAACGTCCTGGATTGTACCAGTTGTTTACCAGTGATTAGCAGCTTTAGGCCTTTCTACTGAAATTGGATAAAATCCCACAACTGCACATTTAGTGGCTCATTTACCTGAGTAAATGCCAGAGCCCGAGGTGTCAGGCAGCACCAGCTGGAAATAGTGGTCACATAGTGTATTTAAAGATAGGATCATAATGTTCACACTTATTGCTGTATACTAACCTTTAATAATTTCTCTCTTTATACAGTGAAGATTTAAATTGCGGTCCAACAATAAGTGCATAGATTTTTGCCTTTGGTGTTTATGGCCAGGTCACTACCCCAGGGACTGATGCTGGGTTATATAGTTAAGTGTTCCTCTGATTGAGGTACTTGCCTCTGGCAATAAAAGGTCGACATCAATGATTAATGAGAGGAAAATGTCATAAGGGAGGGGAGGGAGTAAAAAGATGTGTAAGGTAACTTGGGAATAAGTCCTGCATCCTAAAATTTTCTTCTACTCTCTTTTGTACATTGTACATTTTATCATGCCAACCTTATATGTTTAACCCCATTTTAAATCTTTGATGACAGTAAAAGTGGGGTTGTTTACATGCAGTGATCAGCACACGCGGGTTACTGTTACATCAGACGGACAAATCGATCACAGATTAGCTCAGCCACAGCTTCTTCTTACGTTGTTTATCCCTTTAATTGTGAGGTTTTGACTTATCATGCATATTCAGATCAATAAATAGAGAATTCCATATGAGGCTCCCACAGAGGAGAGTCCACTGACACAACTCCATCTGAGTTCAGACGAAAGCTCTTTACCTCTAATTAGAACTCTTGGCAATTCTAATGGATGCCCTTATGAAAATATATTTAATGACCTGATGTCAGCAGGAGCCCATCCGCTGATGTCTGATTCATCTCATTAAGACTCTCCTGTACATGTGTGTGTGTGTGTGTGTGTGTGTGTCTGTGTGTGTGTGTGGGTCATTGATTGAACATTCCTGACTGATATGAACACAGATGCACACCAAAAAGCTTGTGTCAATATTTTACTTCTTATCTATATTATTTTAACATCACAAGACAATTTTATCACACACAGTCAACACTTTTATAACTGTCTTTATTGTAAACACATTTCGATGCACAATAGTTACAAAATATTCTCTCTCACAACAACAGGAAGCACAGACTCTCTCAAAGCTGCCTACTTCAACATCACCAATGTCCAAATACACAGTGATTGCACAAGAGTTAACATTTATCTCCAATTAAGATTTTTACCAGAGGATGTCTTGCAGCACACTAGTCTTTTAAAACTTTAATCAAAGGGCAGTACTGTGTCTGGATACTTCAAGAAAACTGTAATTTACAATGTTCATTAACCACATGCTACACTGAAAATATATGTAGCTATAGTGTGTATTGAATTTACATAGTCATCATTGCCACAAACTTGAATTTACAGCCACCGAAAGTCATCTTACACTCATTATGATGTAGTTCTTCCCTTTTTAAAACAATAAAAAGACAACATTATGTATAATGTTTATCATATATACAAATGATACTGCTCTATTTATAGTCCACCCTCGTATTCCAAACTGATTACACATCTTACCTTTGAATAATACCATGAACACAGCTGACAGAAAACAAAATGATTTACGGTGCAGCACTCAGGAGTCCATTCAACCCACGTCTCTTGTCTGCTGTCTGAGGAGTGTATTGAAGATTGGCTGGATGGTGGTTGTTATTTTTCCCCCTCTTTGTTCTGGTGCTCCCACGGCACGGGATCGTTTTCCTCTGTGTGTGATCCACCCTCCCTCTCGTGCCAGAACTGCTCCACATCAGGCAAGACAATCCCATCTTTGAGGCTCGCCCTGTCTACTTCTCTGTCTCCTCCATGCTCCGGCTGGGGCTGAGCCTCTCTGCTGGGACCCTGGACAGAGTTTGATCGAAGGCTCCTCTCCCCACCAGGCTGGCCGGAAGTCTCTGGTCTGGGGCAAGGCGACTGGAGAGTTGTAGGGTTGTGAGGTCCCGGTTTTGGCTTTGGGGGAGGTTGCTTGCGCAGGGTGAGGCGCCTCCACAGCCCCCTGTAGCCCTCTCTGAACTCCTCGGAGAGAGAGAGGACAATGAGAGGGTTCACCAGGGACAGAGAGAAGGTGAGCAGCTGAGCAGAGAGGGTTAGAAGAGGGGGAAGAGAGGAGACGAGAGGCTGAGCTCCTTCGATTTCTTTCTCTGCTATATGACGCTCCCAAACCCAAACCACCCACTGTGGAAGCCAGAGAATAGCCATGGCCACAGTCAGGCTGAACAGCATCAAGGTGAGCTTTCTGGATCTGATCTGTGTGCGTAGGTTCTGTGTTTTACTGGAGCGACGCTGGCACTGGCCATAAGCCCTCCAAAAATACATGAGGGCAAAGCTAAGAGGTGCACAGTAGACCCCCAGGGGGTATGCTTTGACGTACACAGCCATGAAGTCCCGGGCTTCAGGAGGAACAACCAGCACACACACCCACCCGCGGATCTCTCTCTGCAGCGTGGCAAACAGCCAGTGAGGGATGGTGACAGAGCAGGCAGACAGCCAGATAAAGAAGAACACCACCAGGATGGAGCCCAGGTGGATGCTCACCTGCTTGGTGGGGTTGGACACATAGCGGTAGCACGCTTTAGCCATGACAGCCACTGTGAAGCTCTTCGCTGCCATGCAGGACTGGAGGAACCAGTCGGCTGTCTTGCAGACCACCCAGCCCAGATTCCAGCTAGCTTTGGAGTAGGCGGCAGCCCTGAATGGCACCGTGAACAACAGCACCAGCCCGTCTGCAAACATCAGGTTGAAAATGAGGGAGTTGATGAGAGATAGTTTGCCTCTATGAGCGTTGGAGAACAAGATGACCATCGCAGTGAGATTACAAGCCATACCCAAGACACAGATGACTCCCAGAATAGCCGGTACCAGGACCCTAAGCTCCCTGGCGTCCAGGTGTTGGTATGAGCCACGTTCGTTGAATGGCCACTTGTCAATGGAGCTGTTCACCACTGTGGCGTTGTTCCCACTCAACGTATCCATCTTTTCCAAAAGAATGGCGAGCTGATGCGAGAAGAAAAGATGAGAAAAGTAAAAGGCAGCCAGGAGAAGAAGAAAAGAGGTTCTGGGTCGAAGATTTCCAAAGACTGAAGTGCTCGAAAGAGAGAATTAATATATCTAGCAACACTCTCACTCTAAATCTAAACCTGTTGGAGTATTAGCATCAGAGAAGGCATCGATTGAAGATCAATAGTCACAGTGGAGCTCTTGTCTGTCCCTGGGTTTATCCTGAGACACAATGATGCAGCTTCTGCAGCTGGTTATAAAGATGCAGTTTGATTGACAGCTACTGTCCCCAGCTGACAAAATGTGCGTCGACTACAGCCTCACGGGGCCAATTAGAAAAACTCTGCATAATGTGCACAGTACGACAGATGAATGTATTAGATTTGTAATTTGTGTAAATGTTTGTGAATAAGTAATCGTTACAGTCAGGTTTTCTAAGAGATACGGACGCTTAATTGCTTGTGAAATGTGTTTTTCTTATTATAGCTAAGGCATTTTTGGATTTGTCACAAACAGTACATGAACTCTAACATCTGACAGCAATCCAGATGGATTCTGTCCTTTGTTGTATGAGCTGCATGGATCAGCAGCCTTCATCTGGATGCTGGATTTCTACTCTTACAATGTTACATCAGTATAATATGAATAAACATGAATAATTTAAAGAAATTAAGAAAATTGTGACTGTGGCTAGTTATTTGAAATCAACCACCAACTGTGTCCAACTGATGAAAATCATCTTCCCTACCTTTTTTTTTCTTTTTTCAGCAGCTAGATTGCCTTCACATGTCTCTCTTCATCCACAAGAGGGCGCCATTACACCACAGGCAGCAAGGTATCATTCGATATAATACATTCAATTTGAAGGTGTAGCTAGTAAGTTTGATAATATCTGTTGAAATTGTCACTATATCCACACTGTAGAACATTAGACAAAAAAACAGCATGTCTCTCTGCCTCCTCATAGTGTTCTAGTGGCATTTACAAGAATCCACTGCAGCTGAGAGAAAACAACCAATCAGAGCTGAGAAGTCTCTAATGTAGCTGTCAATCATGTCAATCACCCCCTGGGAGCTGTGGTCAAACTGTCAAACTAGGCAGTGCTGATCAAATATGAGTCAAGATCCTGCAAATGCATTACATATTTCTTGCCTCAAATGTTTTCAGAAACATATTTAGTGTACTGTTTAGCTGTAAAATGATAACCTTTGTGACCCAGCTGCCATGTTTTATGTAGTTATATGGAGTACCAAGCACTGCCTGCCAGTCAGACCAACTTTCTCATTTTACAGCTAAACAGTACACTAAAATATGCCTCTGAAAACATTTGAGACGAGAAATGCAATAACATAATAATAAACAATTTCCCTTCGGGGATCAATGAAGTATTTCTGAACAGAACCTTGATTCATATTTGATCAGCACTTCCTATTTTGACATTTTGACCGGCGTTCAAGAGCAATGGATCTTTTTCACAGCAGACATGTCATAGTAGAAAAACCACAGGCAAAACTGATAAGGTTCACAATGGCTTAGTTCCATGTAGTGTCCCAGTACGCTATTCATGTAAGCCAGCATGCACAGTATCAGGGTCTCCTAAATGCAAGTGAACACACCTGTGCTTTTCCTACTACAACATGTCAAAATGTGTTTTCCTTCAGACCCAGTAGATTCTTGCAAATGCCATTAGAAGCACTATAAAGAGTTGGAGGAACATCATTAATTCTATTTGTACAGTTCTGTGTGGATGTAGTGGTTTCAGCAAATATGACAAAAAGTTATTTTATATAAAAGTTATCAGGTGTAGCTTTAAGTCAGCAGCATTAACAGAGGAGGACCAACAACGCAGGGTTTGAACTTGCACATCTTTATTCTTTTTTATTCAAAGAAAGTCCAGTAAGCATAAAGACTGCATGGTAATTAATTGCATTTCAATACATTCTGAGCTATAAAAGTTTTTTTTTTGTTTCAATTAGAAGTGTCACAAAGGAGGTTGTTTAGAAGACATTACTGTTGAACGGAATCACACTTAATAATTCCCTGATTTCACAGAGTTCATTTAGACCTTTGACTGGTTTTCTTTAAGGGAGTTGGCTCTTAAAACAAATCTGACACAAATGAGGGCCTCCAAACCGGTCAAAGCCGTGCGCCAAAATACGAACCTGCTACTGCTCCGCGTCACCCATCTTCCACAAGACAAGGAACGTGGACAGGCACTGCAGCAATCTTAAATCAAACCTTCTTTTAAAACTCGCTACTTCTGGAGAAAGCCAAATATTTTACTTGCATAGTGCCTCAGATGATCTGTAGATGTTCAGATATCTATATGCAGGCTGTCGGTTTCATCAGAATCAGATCCAACGCATGCAAAAAGAGCTATGCTAGCATTATGTTACGCCAAGAAATCTCAAGTTCAATAATTCGACATGAAAAGTTTACGGTTCTACCATCTACAGATCATTTTCAGTACAATCCAAATAAGGTAAAAAGGAGGGGTTTTTTTGTCCAACAGGGATTTTGCAAAACAAAATTTAATGTGGCTTTGTCGTGTCTCTTGCAAACTGATGACATCAGACTGACTGCAATGTGATAAGAGCAACAATTACTTTGTACATATCACAGCGTCCTCCCCGGAACTCACAAGCAAAGTAGCCGGTGCTATAATGTAATCATGACTACATCGCTTCAAGCACTTTTTTTCCACTTGGGACGTCAGTGGAGCTTTTTTGTTTTTCTTTAAAGAGAAAGAGAAAAAATAAATCAAAAGAAAAATTTCTAAGTTAACATTTCATTTGAAACATTCACACTCCTGCCTTGTACTCAGTCCCCTCCCCCCTCCCGCTCCCACTACATCAAACCCCCACATACCAAAAGAAGGCACCACAGCTTCTAAACAGACTCATTGACCGAGCGAAGGACTCAATAAAACAACAGCATTAAATAAAACCATTGACACAGCCTGGAAGGGCTTCATTCACATTACAGACTACAGCAGTCTCCCCAGGGAGACACAGAATCGGTACTAGAAAGACTGACCACGTTTGTGTCACAGGCAGAGAGACCTCTCAGTTTCTGGGGTCAGAGATTAACAGTCTCTTCCTCTTTTTGTAGGATTTCTGCAGCAGGTCGCACTGCCTGAAACGCCGCCTCAGTTAGAGGCCGCAGGGTTGATCACATGCACTGGAGCATGAGCAGAGTGGCAGAGAGGGGGCACTGTTGCTACATGACAATGAGCCACCATCATGTAAGCAAGGTTTCTGTCTGTGTGCTCTACTTTGTGTTCAGTGTACCCACATCCAGCCCCTTCCTGCAGGGTCCGGACGGCTGCTACATCATGTCACTCATGCAGCAATCCTCTTGTTGCATGGGATTCACTTCTCCAGGTGTCCACATGGCTAAATAAATTAAATTAGAAGTCAAACTGAAGAATGAAAGTCCATTCTTGATTTCAAGGAACCTTTTTCCTTGCGCGGTATCCAGGTTGTTTCAATTTCCTGCTTCCCAAAATTCGTCCGCAGTTCAGTCACTGGACACTCTTCTCTTCACCTCCCCCAGCAGAGCGGCAAATTTCAAGACCAGCAGCAACAAGACATAGGGAGAGGAGGAGAAGGATGTAGATACCGGCTTCATCTCTCTCTTTCTCCAACTCTAGCTCTCCCTGCAGCCCCTTTGCATGTGGGGGTCAGGGGTCAGCATGGGCAGATTGCCCTTTAGTTGACTTTGTCTTGAAAGATGTAGAGGTTGTTGGTGGCCGCTACAGCAATGATGTTCTCATGAGGGTGCCACGTAGTGTGAAGGATCTTCTTGCTGAAGTCTAGGCTGTCCACACTGATCTCGTCCTTACGGCGTTTCCCACCCACACACACCTAGAAGACAACAGGAGGGATAAAGAGGCGTTAAAATATGAGTGTGCACAGCATAAATTAGCACTGATTTTAGTGATGTTAAAGCACTATTTATTTATTTTTGCCCACTTGGGGGCAGGCTGTGAAATGCAACACTGACATAATATCACCCTATAAAGTAGATATGGAACATATGTTAGCAAACTATTTTCACATTCAGGAGACACGCAGCAAAATTAGCATTCATTTGGGGTCATGTTTTTTTAGCTACTCAGAGTGTGAACTACGACGGTAAAGGCCATAAAATTAAAACAATGGGCTAAAATGCTCAGATGAACTGAGGGGAACATTAATGTCAGGTGATAATTCTCTGTGGGTTCACCACTTTGAGTGACCCCTTTCACATTACACAGTCATTTGACCCATTGTACATTTAAAATATTGATTGCCGCAGCTTTAACCTGCTTCACTGTGTGTACGTTTACAAGCCCAACTGGTCTGTTTTCTGTGGGGAGAAATGATGTGAAGAGAACAAAAGAAACCAAACATCTAATGCGGAGGTATCCAACTTTCTTCTACTTAGGAAAAACTTTTATATTCCATTTGTAAAATTTAATGCAGATGTTTTTTGATAAACTCAGTACATAGAGATTTGGCAAGGGTCGCCAGTTTAAGTCCCAATGGAACAAGTATGGCGCATGGACTGGTAGCTGGAGAGGTGTCAGTTCACCTCCTAGGCACGGCCGAGGTGCCCTTGAGCAAGGCACTTAAACCCAACAGCTCGGGGCACCTGTCCAAGGCAGCCCCCTCGCTCTGACACTTCTCTATTTCATCCATGTATAGGCCCTGTTTGTGCACATGCGTATTTTGTATTTGTGTGTTTATGACAACAGAGTGAAAAAAAATCCCCTCAGGGATTAATAAAGTATATTTAGTAATATTTTATTATTATTATTATTATTATTAATAATAATAATAATATGGTAGCTTACCTATGATGATTCCCAGTTATCAGGATATCTAAAAATGCTAATCTGAAGCCAAGTGGAGGCATCTAACTTTTTCCTCACTCATAGAAATACTCTGACAATATTCAAATCCAGCTGCCTTAAACCTAGGTATTCCAGATATCAGGTAATGTCAGCCTCACACCAATTGCTATTGCTATTTCACTATGGTTGACAAATATCCAAAGTCGGAATAAAATCTTGAGTGTTTTTTAACTCAGCTGATGCATGCTTAGTTGATGTAACGTGGTCATATAACTCAGTGTGAGCTGTCAGTCTTTTTCTCCTCTTGATGTTCCGACACATTCAAACACGTTTAAAATTGTTGTAAGTTTTAAGTCTTGGCTGAGGCAAATAGTGAAGTTCAGTGACATTTGACTTGATCAAGGAGTGTATGGTGAACACTGGAATGGCAAGTGGGAATATTTGTGTTTAATATTAAGTTCATTGATGAAATATAAAAAAGGGGTAGGAGTCAGTAAGTATTCGCTTCCTGCTCCTTTTCAGACAGGAAATACTTAAATCTAACAGGGTCAATTATACAGCAATTATATGTGTAGCAAAGTCAAATATTTACTTGTAATATTATGTATCATAATTACACAAAATTAGTTTCAGTTGTTATTACCTGACACGCTCAGGCCTCCATAGTCAGTTTGTGGAATGTTTGATACTGGTGCGTTTGTGAAGGGAACAGGAGTCTGTGTTTAATCAGAGCGTATCTGATCCACCAGCCAGCACTAATTTTAGAGAGAAATCTCAATTTCTGAAATGTTTTGCCTCTCATTCCCATTCCCTGTCACGCTAAAATATTGCTGCTAAACAACGGAGGCTGGTAGCAAGTTGTAGCAACAAAATCAACGATGTAGTTTGTACACAAATACAGTTTATTTTTATAGATTATATTGATGCCGATGTGATAAGAATACTGTCGACAATTGACGTCTTTTATCTTGCATTTCTAGAGCTATGTGTTTTTGCAGACATGTAGGGAATTGTTAAAACATCATATTTCTTAAAGGGAGTTTGGTGTAATATTTTAACTTTGTTCTTTTAAAAGTCTTTCAAAGTCTTTTAGTGTATGGTAGGTATGACTTGTACTGATGAACAGTACTGTACCTTGCGAGGCTTGAGAATGGCTCTGGGTTTGCTGTTCTCCCTGGACGCCTCCAGTGTGACGTCACGTTTGGTGTTTCGGTCAAACATTCGGAAGAAATTGTTGTAGGAGCCGGTCATTATGACACTGAGGAGGAGCAGAGGAGAGCAAAGGGTTATTAAGCTCGATAAATGCATGCATGCATGCATGGATGGATGGATGGAAGTAAATAAATCGTACCTGTCTGATCCATTCCAGACACACTCAAACTTGTCAAAGATGCAGTCATTCTCATACAGAGAACAAAGTTTTCCACGTAAATAGTCATGGACCTAAAAAGCAAACAAAAACATGAGTATCTGAAGTAGTTGGTGGATTACGATCACACTCTCCCAGCATCTTAACTTCGTCATATTGCCTTTCATTGGACAACCACACAACCATAAGCTGCACTGCCATATGCTCTACTTTCAATAATCCCTCCAGACCTGGTGACCCCTGCTAAGATGCTAGGTAGCAGGTGGAGGCGTGGCTAGAAACAGACAGAGAATCCCTTGAGCCCAGCTGATGGCCTTATCAATCATGACCTGCCCTAAGATGGCTTCCGCTGATCAGACAGTGTGGATCTGACCCCGGTGACCACACAGTGGGAGGTTTTGCCCTTCAGGATGCATCAGCACCATCACTATCTGTCTTTTTACGGACAGTCTGCTCAATAAGCCCCCCTGGGGTCATCGCTAAAGATGACACGGTCACAGATTGCCAGGGTGACAGAGAAACAGGATTATGTTGAGTGATTAGTCTGAAATCAATAAGTTTTGATTTGATCTCGGCCTAACTGTTACTTAGGATTATCTTTGGAGCCTTCAAGCTGTCCGACAGGCACGTAAAAGCATGGTGAAAGCTTACCTGGTACGTCTCCAGCGGTTTGTTCTCCATTTGAAGATCCCACACCTTGACAGTGAGGTAGTCCCTTGTCATCAGGTAGCGCCCGTTGTGGCTGAACTTCACATCAGAGATGGATGAGATGATTTCAGAGAAAAAGGAGCGAGTGGAGGGATCCTCGGGCTCCTCAAAGTCTATGAGAGAAAAAAGAAACAATAAAGCAGTTATCTTCTGACAGAGAAAACACATTTTACACTGTAGGAGATCGCTGTTTAGAAGAGATGCTTTTCCACCCGCAAGTCTTTTAATCATTCGCAGCGAGGAGAAAAAACAAAGCAGATTTTGTTTGGGTGGTGGGGGCCATCATTAGCAAACAATAACAGCCACAACAATGCGAGGATGCGGGGTTTTGCTGCAGCAGCTGCATCTCTTCACGGTATTATTTCTGTGTGTGTTTAGGGGGAGAGTCGTGGGTCAGCATGCTGGGTAAATATTGGTTATGATTCATATTGATTCTGGCAGCTGCTGATCTGTGTGCAGGCCAGCACGCTGGGGATAAGAGCCAGGCATTCCATCGTTAGCTGTCAAGTTATTGTTCCTCCTCCTCTTTTTCCTCCCACCCTTCCTCCCCTCGCTCCTCTCCATCTCTCCAAAAATGCCCCCACCATTCTCCCCCCTTCCCTCCTCCTCAGCTGAGGCCTGGAGAATAGCTCTGTGATGTGTCAATGGGGAGTCTAACAAGGGATGCAGCGTGAGAGATGAAAAAATGGGGGGGATGAAGAAGGGATAAGAAAAACAAATCAATGTCAAAGTGCTGGGCCCATTTGGGCCCCTCTGGATTTGTGTGTGTCAGTGAATGAGTGTTTGTGTATATGTGGGTGTGTGCAATATGTGCATGTATATATGCATGTGTGTGTGTCCCTGCCCTCCCTCCCATCCCACTCCAGGGGTGTATAATAGGGTCCCTAGGGAGTTGGCATGGGGGCTGCTTGGTCCCTTTCTCTCTGTCCTGGGGCTCTGCGCTTTGGCAATCCTCTCCTGTCCCTCCATCCATCCATCCTCAATCTAACACTGACTGATACCACCGGCCTCCCAGATTCACAGGTATGGGAGGGTATGAGTGTGTGTGTTTTTATGTAGAAGGTTCAGGAAGTTTTGTGTGTGTGTGTGTAGATGTCAAGGGAAGGAGGAGCTGTGTGTGTATGCGTGGGAGGGAGGGCATTATTCATCGCTCTGAGCCATACACCGCTCATGCAGTGAGACAGTGGGTCGCTATCAACAGACCTGTCCTGAGGCTAACGAGAGCACCTGCCTTCTCTGTGAGTGTGTGTGTGTGTGCATGTGTGTGTGCGTGCATGTGTGTGTGCGCACTGCGAGCACCTGTCAAGTAACGGCACGTACAAGTCAATATCAAACAGCTGTAAATATCTTGGCTTAAAATTTACACCTAAATCCAAATATTTTCTAATACTTATACGCTTATTTCACCCTCAAATAAATGCTCATGCGCAATTCAACAGGCCGTGTTAGTGCATGGTCCAGTGAATGCATCAATATGTCTGAGGAAATGACTGGCATTATCGAACAACAAGGTGTGTCCACGAGGGACTAATGCAATTGCTCTTAAGCCATTGATTTTGCAGCGAAAATGTCAATGTATTCATTATTCATTCACCCAAAGCGTATGCACGTGATGTTAAGCTTTAGAGAAGGCCATTCATTGTTTGAAACACACACAGAGAATTATTGATGGGTTATCAATCCTGGCATATTGAGCAGGGGGAGGGCTGCATCTCACAGGCAGACAAGGTGGAGCTGAAGCAGAAACAAATTGTGTGAATTTGCAATCATGGTGCTATGTTGTATTTATATATACATAGAGGGAGGGGAGCGGACCTCTTACGTTTTTCCTCATATTATGTCATATATATTATGTTACAATGATGCATGTTCATATTAAATATAGCCAAACTTTGAAAAAATGAGGTAAGCGTATGTAAAAGTAATTCATGTGAGCAAAAGCCTCAGGTTTCAGAACATTCTGAATACTCTATTTAAAACAGTTTTTTCTACTTTCTGGACAAGCTGACGTCTGATCACGATGGATTTCTTTCTATGGTCATCTGCTCCAGGTACGCTACTGCAAGTATTGACAATGCTACATGTAGCTACATGCTGACATCGGGAAAACATTTCACCTTGGTTGCGGATGTTGTTAATTTCTCCCGGATTTAACATGAAATTCCTGCTGGAGCAGTTGTGTGTAGAAGTTTTTAGTGATGATTTTTCATGGTAGACAGTTCCATGCAGATCAGGGCATACTGGACTTTTTTGGGAGGGGGGCTAAAAATGGTACTTTGCTGATTTTCTTACAGATTTGTGTCATAACAATGTGGGTTGTATGTATAAATATAGTAAACTTTCCTCCATCTGGTGCCTAGATCTATTTGTCCCCCACCCAGATAAATCAAAACATGTCATCTGGTGGAGTTTCGCTGGCTCTCAAGGCTGTTCCTTGACCTGCAATCTATACTTTTTGCATTTTGCATTGCCGGCCTCCCATGCAACTACACTGTATACAAAGAGTACAGAAGTGGATCAAGAGGCAGACCCGCCCCTCTCTTTGTCTCTCAAACTTACAGTAGACCAAATCCGATCAAAACTAGGCAGTGCTGATCAAATATAAACCAAGAATATGTTACTGAATTGCCCATTTCTCACCCAAAATGTTCTTTAGAAACATTTATTAGTGCCCTGTTTAGCTGTAATATGAAGAATTTGCAAGAAGGGAGTGGGCACCACTTTGTTTCCTGCATAGTGAAAACAGAGGCTAAAAAACTGAAATCAAACTGTAAACCTAAGCAGAGCTGACTGAATATAACACAAGATTATTTTACTGTGTTGCCTCGACCCAGATGTTTTCAGAAACATGTTTTAGCTTGCTGTTACTCTGTAATCATTGTTACCAGCTGGCCACCATTGAAATCCAGCATTGTGTCAAACTGATATGTTCCCTCTGTTTTCTCTGGTCATGTAGCACCAGATAACAGACAGTGGAATTTTTCAATATCTAAATTTGACTGTTTTTAGGGGGAAAAATATTCAGTTAAAATAAATAAAGGGATTCAGTGTTTCAGTTCAGTTCAGTACAATGCAACTATTTTTTAAACTTTATGCAAAAGCTTGCCAGAAAAGGCAACGTTTAGATGACAGGAGGGAACAAAAATACGCAGAATATATCACAGTTAAAGGTAAAATATGCAAGAATTGTCATCACCAGTATAAGTAAAAGCCCACCCCAGATTTATTCTCCTTTTGGAACAAGCTTTGTCCACTTGGTGTTTCACCTTGCCATATTTGTTTTTTCTCAGCACTGTGTCACGATTTTCATAGCTTCTTCTTTGATGTGCACTGCTTACAGTCTGGCACCTGGTCACTACCTTTTTGTAAAGTCCTGACTTCACCATCATGCTGTGGATGATCCCGAACACAGCAAGATAAGAAAATACAGGCAGAGGGCAGAACCCCCGGCAGAAAAATATACCGCCACACACTTACATACTGGTTTGTATGTGCTGATTGAGAGGGATTACTTTTAGATGAGTCTACATATTGTCGTTAAGGGAAATCCTCAATAGTATACCTTTAAATTAGTGAAATGCTAGCACTTAAGTTTTACAGCACTTCTTGGTGGCTTGCCCAGTAAATATAATGAAGCACCATAAATATTAATAGACAATTTATATTTTCACACAAGCGTTGACTGTTTCATGTCACTCTTTTTTTCCCATGATGCACGCCACTGGTACTCACATTTGCAGTGTTTGTCGCAGAGCGCGGCCTCTCTCATGTCACAGAGGCGTATTGAGCCTTTGCTGCTGCTGTAGGCAAAGGTGTGACACTGCTGGGGATGAAACTCTGCTGAGGTGATCACCTCCGTCAGCTCCTCCATGTTGGCTGGCTTAATGTCCACGATGTCTGAGAGAAAGGCGCTAAGGAACAACTGCAACTGTTTTGAATTTTAGCTCTGAAAACAGTGACTCATTTTGTGTACAAACAGGACTGAATAACAGGACTACTTTACACCCATTTTATGCAGACTTTAACAGCTCCTAAACACAGAAAAGACCTGTGTAAGAGGATACTGAAGCTGCGATCGGTGATCTCCAGGTTCCACAGGTTGACCCTGAGGTCGTCGGTGGAGATGTACGTCTGAAGGTCGGAGTTGACAGAGATGGAGTTGATGTGGTAGGTGTGGGCATTACTGAATACCCGCCTGGCTGTAGCCTCAACCATCAAGTCCATAGGCTGCAGCACCGGCACCTATTGGTGAAGACAGGTCAATTAGAGAGGGGAAAAATGAGATATAAAGAAACAGAAAAATATGCAAGAAATTCATCTTGAAGGCTTTGATGTGTTTTGTAACACTGTTTCAGTGTTCTGTGTACTTTGATGCTGGTTTCCTCGAGGCCTTCTTCGATATTATCTGTTTCTGTGAATGTACATGCACATAATTGCTTGTGTGTGTGTATATTGTGTGTGTGTGTGTGTGTGTGTGTGTGTGTGTGTGTGAGAGAGAGAGAAACCAGATGACTCCAGGGGTTCATGTGACATTTACTCCACAAATCTTAATGAAACAGTGACAGTGACTGAGGGGCTCAGGGGCTGTTTGGATGTGCAGGTTCAATCAGACGGTGAATATCTGTTAGCTACACAGCTACTCTGAGATCACGCCTCCCTCCATCGCTCTCTGTCTTTCTCTCATGTAAGTGCTGAAGAAGTCACTCCTGCTCGCTTGTTTGTGTGTGTGTGTGTGTGTGTGTGTGTGTGTGTGAGAGAGAGAAGGCGAGAAAAAAGAGAAAGCGAAGGAGGTGGAAAGAGAAATGGCCCGAGGGCATCGCTCGGCCCTGCTGAGGAATGATAACTGAACTCTGCAGAATTAAGACGAGCTCACACACACACACACACACACACACACACACACACACACACTGCGCTGCTCGGGCTTCAAAGACACCCAGCTCCAGTCTGTATGCAGCCCCCCGTTGGCCAGATAAAACCCAGACAAAGAGAGAAGGGAGGGGAGCGAGAGAGGAGAACAAATCGACTGCTTCTTCCCTTTTTCTCTCGTCCGTTGCTGGCACTGACAGAGAGACATGGCAGCCCAGCAGGCTGCTGTATCTCCATGGGTGTCACTTCATTTCCATGTCTTTCACTGGCTGTCCAGAGAGACACGGACCGTATTAACCCATAACCCCCAACACTGACAGTTACACGGCTCAGCTTTGCTCCTGCACCTTTGAAATGACCTAACACAGTCTCCTCCTTATAGTATGTAAAACAGAATATTTTACATTAAGATATTTCTAACTAATCTGATCTTTTCACAGCACAAAATTTGAAAGCAGTTTCCTTTTTATAGCTGAAATCTACGGACGGGTATTGCTGCCACGCCAGGAAAAAAAACACAACGGATCAGTCAGTCACATCAACATGAAAAGTTTCATGTTTCATGTTTTTACAAGATATTTTTTACATTGTAACGTTATAAGTAATCACATTATAACATGAAATATTTTACGTTATAACAATATAAACCAATAGAAATCAAATAAAACACATAAAGTACATATTTTTTGTTTTTAGGACGTACTGAATCATAGACTTCTCATGATACAATAAAGAGCGTGCGTTGTTTGATTATTTTTGGCTACATTTTGGTATGATTTTTCTAAGCTCTTCCCTTTCCTCCTGTGCTTTCTCCCCCCCCCATGCGCAGATTTCACAGCCTCTAAACAGGATTGCCACAGTCCCGGCCTGTCCTCCAGGTTGCTATGATCCCCTGGCCAGCCAGACAAAGAGGGACAGACACGCTGAACACAGCACTAATCTACTATGGCAGACACACACATGTACACACACACACACACACACACACACACACACACACACACACTGTCCTATGTGCCTGACTGCTTTGTGTGAAAATTAAAGAGGTAGTGAAGTGATAAGAATAAGAGGGGGGCGGGGGGCGGGGACAGGCAGAGAGGATGATCCCTTCATGGTCTTCACCTCAGCGCACATATCGATCACTCATTCTCACTTTCTTCTGCCAGATTCAGTTCCAAATTGTCCAACGATTGTGTGTGTGTCATTTATCAGAACTGAAAGTGAGCATATATTACTGTGTCTGCTTTGATACAGTGCAGACATACAGCACGCCCTGCTAAGAAGTTTATGATGGATTAAAGGCTATCATAGCATCCTGACTGAATGCTAAATTTTGATTTAATCAGCTTATCTGGACTGTATGTATTCAGACTTCAGACTACTTACAACTACCTCCAGAACAGGAAAAGCACAGGTGTTAATTATAAAATGAATGAAAACCTTTTTAGCTTCTGGTATTGTTCATGCTGGTTGACTGTCAAACTGTCACTTCTCACTGGGACGGAGCCATTGTTATTGTTATTAGTAACAATATTAGTGCTTTTGCCACTATGATGAGTCAAAATGTCACCTGGGAAAAGTCTACCATCAACATGCCTTTCTAGAGGGACATCCATCCAAAAACTTCCTGAACTGCTGAATTGTTTTTAAGAAATAGTTGAACATTTTGGAAAAGGCCCTTATTTGCTTTCTTGCCAAAATTTAGATGAGAAGAGTGACACCATTCTCATATCTGTAAGTTCAATATAAACCTACCACCAGCAGTCAATTATCTTGGCTTAGCATATAGCCTGGGCTGCACAATATGCATTATTTTTATCATCATGCTACCTGGGTGATAAACACATTTTGAAACACTGTAATATGCACTCAGGGATCTTTTAAGTTAGTTGAAAGAGTATCAGTAAAACTGCACTTTATTATGAAACTATGACTCATGTTTTTTAGTGGTGCCTTTTGTGTTTAGTTCAATGTTCAATGAAAGAGTGCTGGGAAATTTTTCCTTTAACTTTTTTAATTCAACAAGATATGTGTTGTATTTCAGCAGCATACTGAAAGCAGCAAATGCAGAACTGATGTTCACTTTAACATCTTTTTATTGCAATTTCGCAAGTAATATCATTAGCAATGTTGCATATTTCCTACTATCATGTAGCCCTAGTCCAAAGGTAACTTACTTTTAACGGAAGCTGGGGGTTGGAGCTGGGAATAACATCACACTGGAGTTGACTGCATTCCAGTACAACAAGTCAGAAAACCAAGATGTTGTTAGCATTACCAATTCTAGCCAGGTTAGCTTTTGTTAGCAATACCAGTTGATAACAACGCATTATGCTGTATTATGCGCATACCAAACCTGTAGCAACATGTCCACAGATAGAAGTTGGACAGACTGTGTGTACGACTGTTTTTAATGAGACACTAATAAGACAGAAGTGCTAATAAGGTGTGTATTACTACAGCTTTCCTTAATGATGATGCACAGAGCAGCCATCTTGGATTTTGAGGTTGGGGTAGGTCTGACTTTCCCAGTTGGAAATTCAAATTAAGGGGGCGCCTCAGTTTAAATGTCTGTTTAAATTGTGCAAAGAACAAAGTTTAAGAATTCCAAGTTGCATTTGTAGAATGTAACATGTTTATTTGTGAGCTTTTAGAGGTGCTGGTAGGCCAATTTAGTTACCTTTGATGGGGCAACAGTAGCTGTTTCCCTGTTTTTTTGTGGTAATGCTAAGCTAAGCTAACTAGCTGTTGGCTCAAGCTTCAAGAGGCCATCTGGCTGCAGCTTGAAATGTTTTGTTTTTGTTTTAATTCAAGACAAAGGTGGATTTTTTTTGTCTTCAGATCACAACCTGCTGTTGACTTTGAGTCAAACTGAAATTTTAACACACCAGCCGTTGACCTGACTCCTTGTGACATTTTGGGTTGTGTTAGACCTGACAGATTTCTGTGACCCCCTCACCCGTAGCGTGGTGATGGTCGACGGGTCTCTGATCCGTCCATCGTCATCCTTCAGGTTGTAGCCCTCCGGACGCTTGTCTCTTTCGCTGATTTTCCACAGCTTCACCGTCTTGTCTGGGATGGATACATCACACAAACACACACACAAACGGACACACACGAACACAACATACAGTTAGATCAAGGCTCACTACAGTGAATCTCAGATACAAGATGGATGCGGGGGGGTTGGGCAGCCAATCTGGCATGTAGCTGGGCAGGAGCCAGCGAGAATGATGAATGGCGGTTCCTGTGTACATTCTGATGTCACTGATATCAATCTACATGTTGACTACATTTCCCGGCTGCAGTATACGCTCCCCCTGAAAAAGCCATCTGGGCGCTTTTCAATTCTCCATCACACAAACACCAGTTACATCCCATCGTCTCAGTCTAGTGAGGGGGATGGCGGCAGCAGTCAGGTTGTTGCCTTTTTTTCTCTCTCTTTTAATTTCCGCTGTGAATATTGGTGTCAGAGCAGCGAGGCCATCGCCACAGGACCCTCCGCCATCTGCTCCAGCCACAGCTAGCACTTCTGTAGCAGCCATGCATGAAGCTCACAATCTGCAAGACGTCTCGCCGCTGATGTGTGTGTGCGTCTCTTTGAGCTAGCGTGCACGTGCGGTGTGTGGTGTCACATGCTTTGATATGTGTGTCTGCTCCTGCTGTTGCAGCCATGCATGAAGTTCTCAATCTGAAACGCTTCTGGTGGCACTTGCTCAGCCGAGCGAAACACCAATACATTCACACAAACAGTCAAAGAGACATTTTCATGTGATATTAATAACATCTCTTACATCAGCTGTACTGTATATCTGACCATTCTGCAAAGTGAGGGATGAATCATGCCTTCAGCTGACACTGTTAGTGAGTAACAACAACACTCTGCCCACATGTAAAAACACTCTCATGACTGATTAATGGTTTCTTTGACCATTTCGCCACTTGTGTTACTCCAACAATACCACGATTGCCTTAGCTTACTAACTGACCGTTGGTGGAGAGCAGAAAGTAGGCGGCGTTCTGCTGAGGAAGCCATTTGATCTTGTTGATCTTCTCCTCAATCTCCAAACTCTTCAGGTAGTCAAACTCGGGCTCGTGGCTCTGGAATGTGCTGTAAACATTGTACTCCCCTCGACGTTGGGGCTGGCTCTTACTCTGCAGGAGGAGAAACATAGTGAGGGATTGACCTGTTTGCTGTTAACGCCACAAGATTAAATACTGGTTCCCACAACAGAGTTAAAGCCCTTGACAAGGCGTCCAGCATTTGCTGGTGTAAATTCAAATTTTAGTCATCTTAAACTTTCCCTTAAGTAGCTTCATAGTGAGAAAAATACTTTAGCCATGGTAATGGCATGACTTTGACCCCATTACTTTTCATCTTGGGAAACATTATAACCTCTAAGCAACAAACAGTGTATTAGCATGTTGATGTGAGCTCAAAGCAAAGTTTTGCTTAAAGACAACTTCACCTGCAAAATGACCATTTGTATATCATTAACTCACTGCCTGTTACCTTAAATTTGTTAAGAATACTTTGTTTGTGTCGCATGCCTCCACGGTGAACGGAGAATCTAAAAAAGGCAAACATTGTTCTTGTACCGAAGTCACTGGGGACCAAAACCTTCTTTTACAAACCCTCGCACAACTTGTACAGTATAGTCCAGGTCTCATTTATCCAGTCGTATGCTCTGTACTTCTCAAACATGCATTTTTGCTAAAACCTTTCTACTTAAAACACTTCTACCTGCACGTGTGTGTGTGTATGGGCTCTGAGCAGAGTTTCAACAACATGCAGGCCCAGACACACGACTCGGCCATGCAAAAGACTGTTTGAACTGACTTGTTTTAGATCATAATGTTTTAGTTTTGTGGAAGATCTGAGCATACAACTGGATAAAACAGACTTGGATTATACTGTGCGAGTTGTGTGAGTGTTTGTTTTGATGTAGTTCTGCTGTTGTTGATCATGGCTCCATTTACTTCAATGAATGAAGAATGTTCTCCTTTTCTTCATTCACCATGGAGGCATGCAAGAACAACAGAGTTTTGGTCACAAATAAACGAAATATGCTGTGAGTATTTTAGAGACAAATGGTCAAATGGTCTTTTTTTTTCAAAGGTCCAGCCTTTTTTCAATTGTTCCCAATGAAGAGAGAGCATACCACTGCTTAGAGAAAAAGAGCTGCACCCAGTGTCTTTTTTTCAGAGCATATTTGTGCAGCCCTTTAGTATGCTTCTGGTTGAAAACCTTGGAACTTTTCACAAAGGCGCTGGTGTCGTCACTGTTGCTCCTTTAGCTATTGTGTATCCCGAGCTGTATGATACGTCAGTAAGAAACTATCACAACAAAAGTGTGGGAGCAGACCGGCTGGACACTAAATGATGCTGGTGAGTGTTGCTCTTCTATGACCATACGTGTTGTAAGCATATTGTTAAAAGTGTAGTAAACAGTCTGTTAACATGGTGTTATGTTAGTTGCCTAGTTACTCTAGATCTTTGATATTGTTGTCATAGAAACAAAACCGATGTGTAGCACGTCATTAAGAAAGACTTCCAGATGAAGTGTTCTCCTGCACCCTGCCAACACTTATCTGCCAAAGAAAACTGTAATGTGGACAGAAAACCTTGGTCCTGTTTTCTACACTGTTTCACAACATTACACGTGTGTGTGTGTATACAGTATATATATGTTTGTGACTTTTATCAAGGAAGTTATGTTTTCAGCCCATTTTGTTTGTTTTTTAGTTTGTCTGTTGGCAGGTTTACTGAGAAACTACTGGCCCAATTTGATGAAACATGGTGGAAGGGTGCAACATGGGCCTGATAAACGTAATGGCTTAACTCTTGGAGTGGATCCAAATCATGGGGAGAGTACACAAATTATTTTTCACTGTCATTAACATTGCGAGACAAGACATTTGGCCTTGGCAGAATAAATGCCATACATTGTTACGTTAGAGCGTTTTTAACTTCTGTACTGTGACGTATGTCAGTACACAATTACAAGAGGGATTTAAAACAAATCCTTCTCATTTAATTGGACCGCTACAACGAGTGTGTGGCATGATACAGAGCAACAGTGGAGTCTGCTGTTGAGCGGACTGTTGGCTCCACACATATGTCCTTTGGTAAGGAGGAGGACAAGGGAGAGATGAATGATTATTCCTCCACCACATTGTTTTGGATATGACAAAAAAGGTTTAGCCCACTGATATCCAAACACACATCTCTCTTGCTCTGTTAGCTAGCGACTGCAACCCACAGACAGTGAGGTGTGGTTTTATATGACCTTAGTTGCCAGCTAGTCACCCAAAGCCGTATTTGATTGGATTCATTTTTGCAAACCCCACTGAGGAGGATGCATCATCAAACAAATCGTTTTACCTGGTTTCGCAGAACGAGAAAAGACAGGCATGTTGATGTAAAAATATTCAGATACTTTTTTTTAACATATATTAGGCATATAACAAGAGATAAAATCATATTTTTCATTTCATGGAGACTTTAAAGTCCAGTAGATGGGAGTAAACTGTAGAAATACGATGACTCCATTTTATAATCCACATTCACAGGTACCAGTGATCCTCTAGGATAGCCTACACATAGAGTTACTCAAACTTCATGCAGCAACAGATGGTATGGAACATTTGGGCACAGTGGTTTTATGCAAGAACCAGTACAGTTGTAACACCATGTGTGTAAAGATTAAGTTACTAAATCATACTGGTTTGGGTTATAAGGTTTTCTTTCTAAATGTGAATTTAAATTTGACTCAAGTAAAATGTCCTCCTTGTGATCACATATGCTGATCACATATATATGATCATACATATGCATGATAATTAAGTGTTTTCTGATTTAAATAAATGCATGTTAAGCATGTGAAATATTTCCAATTTAAAAGCAAATAATACATGAACAGCTAATAATGAGGCTTCAGCTAGGTACAGTCATATAGTTGGGAAATATATCCATACATCCATATACAGTGTTTGTGCTTGCAGATTTGCATATCATAGAGGACTGGACTATTGGCCTTGGCAGAGCTCTGAGTGCTCTCCTAGTTTGTTTTATTATTTGCTTGTTCTAGCACTCCATAGCAGCTACATTATATGGCACATTTACATTGAATCAACATTCTCTTCCATGGTGCTACATATTTATGGCTGCTCCATTACATGAAATGTAAAAATCTAGACATGCATACAAGTTTTTAGTATCATTGGAAACCTTGACATCGTAACTGGAATTCAGAATAAATTTTGGTGGTTTTAAACAATGCTTCTCCATGTAACATGAGTTTATAATGATGGCTCCACCAAAGCTTCTTAGCGGTCAAAGAGATGTTTATTATTTGTGGTTTTACTGTTGAATTTCCAGCTAACAATCCTTTTCCATGAAACCCTTGACTGACTACTTATCTAAAAGCAAACAATGCGACTTTAATGTTTCAAGGATGTCAAATGCTCTCGGCAGAAGGGCAAGCATAATTAGTGTTGCATTGTTGGCATTTCCTACCTCCTGCTCCCTCTGGAAGACAACCACTCTGCCTCCTTTATCCCCGGTGGCCAACAGCTCCCCCGATGAGTTAAACTCAACCGTTGAGATAATGTCAGCTGCAACACAGGAAGCAGAGCAGAGAGGGGGAGAAAATGTCAGTGTGGACGCACACAAAGCTGTCAAGGTATCAGTCAGAAAGAAAGAAAGAAAGAAAGAAAGACCTTTCCGTAAGATCTGGTAGAGTGATTTCTAGAAAACATGTCAGGGGAAGGGAAGGGGAATCTCGTGAGGAGCCCACAGAGGACTCTTCGGCACAGATACCCTAGTTTAGTGAAATATGGGTTAGGAGAAGCCACTGAGTGAGTCACCGCATGATATCAACTAATTCAGCCCCTCGTCTGACTGAAGTGAGCCAATCTGTGTCATTTAATGGCACTCCTGCTTTTTAAAGGACGCTGTCGCCACACTAATAATCCCATTCACCTCACTCCTCCCGGCTGCAAGACCCCGTGCTGCTCAGTGACACTCCTGCTCCCTCATTAAAAAACACAATCATAAACCTTTAAATAAAGCATGCGCTCTTTGCTGCCGATATGTGTGGCACACTTTTTAACTTTCAATCTTATGCAGTGTATCAACAGGATAAAAAACAAATAAATATATTCACAATCCGTCGCCAACATTTCTCAGTGTCTCTGCATAGCTACAGTTTGACCAAAAGTAAATAACAGACACCTACCCTTAAGGTAGCTTTTCCTCTCCTCCTCAAAGACATACATCTGCCTGGATTTAGGAGAGGCTAATGGTGACTGTAATTATTATACAGCCCCGAGCTAAAAAGGCACAGCATAATATCTGTCACACACACACACACACACACACACACACATGGACACACACCACAGCAGAGGCTAGCCCCCTGTTTAACAGTGACAATAATATTAGACAGAGAGGGAGAGAAAAAGAGAGCTTGTTGTTTTGTACCCCCCACGCCCTCTGTGGACCTGCTACTGGCGGAGCGCTGAACAGGAGAGGGGAATGTTGCTATGGAGACCGTTTCCATCTCTAGCGGCAGTCAGAGGGGTGTATATGTGTGTGTGTGTGTGTGTGTGTGTGTGTGTGTGTGCCAATAGCTCTCAGACTTAGTTGCTGATGCTAGCTGTAATTCAGCAGACAGAGCGAGTGCTGCAGTAGAGTGAAAACCTGCTACTGCATCTGGGGCAAGTGTGTGCAGTTCAATGCAGCACACAACTTCAGACAATGGAGTCCCTGTAGACGGGCTCACCTCTTCACGTAACGCTGCTGTGCATGGTGGGAATGACTAAGCGCCATGTCTTCCAATGTATGTGTGTGCGTGTGTCCTCCCCTTGTTTCTTTTAATTGTCGATGAGAAAGCTACATTCAGCGATGACCCCAGAGGGATTCTTATGGCCATGTGTTGATAATGACGTGAGGGAGCGTTGGTGGCGGCGGCGTGGGGGTGTGGATCCTAATCATATTTGAATCTATAAACTAATTAATGCTGCACAGACAAGACACACTCTGACCTAATTACAGCCTGGGAGTACCCCACTGACACACCCTCGCAAATGCATGCAAAAAACAGACACTGGATTTATCTCTCTGTATTTTCTGCATCACACACACTCTGTCACACACACACACACACACACGATGGTGTCTTCCCCAACACCATCAGGCCAAAGCCACTGGTGTGAATCGAATGGAATCGGCTTAGCAGTCAGCATTCTTGAATCAAAGCTTTTCTCTCTCTCCCGTTTTGTCCTCCACACTTTTTTCTGTCTCCCCCCTCTCTCTTCTCTCTCCTCATCATCAAACCATTAAGTCACCGAGGAGAAACAGTAATTGATGGGTGCCATTTAACGAGTTTACACACGGATACATCCTTCAATCATCTCGCTGAATGAAGAATCGGGGAAAAGCCAGTGAAGCTGAAACTCTTGCTAACGTGATGGAATGCCTCCCTAAATTAGATTTTCCTCATGCAAATGTATTCAAGCCAGAAACAGGCAATCTACTCAACCTCAGCCAGTGACAGGGCCATGTTTGAGCGGTGTTTTCTGATAAACTTTCATTATAGGGAACAAACTGATTGGCAGGTGGAGATGCAGGTGGGCGGGGTCTGTGTCATGATTTCCGCTTGCATCAGATCAGATTTTTATTACGTGAGCGTCAGCAGGTTCAAGGTGGACTGGAATTAGCAGCAGGCTGATCAAATGTGTACTTACACTCTCTCTCTCGCTCTCACACACACACACAGCTTCATCAGCAGACCATAACCAGATGAAGCCCATAAATCCTGTGGCCAGCCAGGTCTGACGCAGACAGGTCAGCGCTTCGTGATGCATCAGACTGATGCTCGAGATAACACACATCAATCACCAGTAATAACACAGACAAGCCTGTTGGCCTGCTGCTGTGATGTGTGTGTGTAACGGCGTACATACGACCGAAATAACACAGGCTCTTATCTGTTTCTATTCCCTGATCTGAACCTCAGTAACCCCGCCTACAGCATGCAATATAGAATCTGAGCTCACACCAATTGGATGGAAACATAGATATGCATTGATTCTGGAATGAAAAAGCGTGCACGAGGAGCCAGAAACACAGGGCGGGGAGAGAGGATATTGAATGTATTTATAGACGTCCGAGCATGCAACATCTATCACACATAACAGAAAGGGCCACTAAGAGAAAAGAGGGGGGAAGTCTGGGGAGGTAAGTAGGTCAATAAAAGATCGTACAGTGAGTCTCATCAGTACAGAGTGCAGCGAAGACCAAAATAGGAGAACCCTGGCTAACCTCTTGACAACGTGTAATCCTGTCAGGGGGTGAAAAAAACAAACAAACAAACTGAGGCATGATCCTGTGGCACTGGAAGGTTGTGTAAGACAGACAGATCCAAAATAATGTGACTGAATGGAAAGCTAGTTGCGTAAGTTGCTGTACAATAATTCCAGGTAGCGGGAGGGATGCGAGCAACATGGTGTCGTGTAAATGCTTTGTTAGACGTTGAGAGGAGAGGATTACAGCACTTGTGCTGAGCTGCCTGCGTCAAAGGATCAGGACGAGGGATAATTCACGTCCATTCTCGCACTCTCTTTTCACTCGCCGCTTTCGTTCCTTCTGCGATAATCAACAATACCTATCAATCTGCTTTTTTTTCTCCAGGGACAATAACACCGAAATTTTGCAGCGATAGACTGAACACCTGTCTGTTCCTTTATTTCTGTGCTGAATAAGCAGCTGATAATGGCAACAATGGAGATCAATTGAAATTTTGAATAAACCGTGCTACCTACTAGTCTGGTGCCCAGTCATATGATTAAGGGTTTATTAGGCTTTATTAGCTGCACACAAAGCAACAGAGCACAATGTAGCTCTCTTCATCTGAAGAGCATGACTCTTTGTAAGATCTGGAGTGAACAAGCTAATTAACCTGGTTTCTCCAGGATCAGCCCCTTGAGGACGAGACAGAATGTGTGCATACGTGTGTGTAGTCCCTTTCTTTTGTACGCCCATGTATGTGTGCGCTTGCTTTCCTGTATCCCCACACTCCGGGGAATGGAGGGTGAAATGGGCGAGACATGTTACTGCTTCACTTCTCACACTTCATTAACACGTCGACGTGGCACACATCTGACTACAGACACAACACGGGACGGGGCGAAAGGAGGAGAAGTGGTGAAAAGCTGTAGGATCAGCGATCGATTCTTGCATGCGCCGACACGAATACCAAGAGGGATACTGAGATCATTTCATATGCTTGTTATTTGGTATTCTCTTAGAAATTGAAGATGTAGGAGGGGGATGGTGGGGGAAGCGGGGGTGCATAGAATTATAATCCACCACCAAAACAAAAGCTGTCTCTCCCTCTCTATCTGTCTGCGTTGCTTTGGTGCAATCCCTTTCATCTCCCCGTTTTCAAGGCTGGAGTGAATCAAAGATTAGATTGCTGCTGCACAGACTGAAATCCTGTATCTACAGTGACCTTATCACAAAAACATGAAAGATTCCGAGTGACGCAGGCTTCCTCGACAGGACATAGGAATTAGCTATCAAAACTTACAAATGTATCCCATTATAAAGTCCAGAAAGGTCAAACACTGCTTAGCCTGCAGGCTAGCAGTGCACCGAATGACTCACGTACAGTACATCTATCACAGCGGCACCTCAAATGACCAGGAAGTCACATAAGAAGTAGGATATTTTTTTGTAATCTTCCTACAGTAGCAACACCACGGGTATTCTTTAATAAATTCTCATTAAATTTTCATGGAGCTGCAGACTTAATAAGAAGCTAATCAGCGGATGAAAGCAGCTGCTGAATAAGGAGTGTGACTCGCCCCAACTTCACAGCTTGCCATTAAGCACCCGCCGCCCCCCACACCAGCCCCCATACACACACATGGACATTATCTTTCGTGTGCTACGTACCGAGGAGGGGTTCAGCGTTTTGAGTGTTTCATAGTGAATAATGGATGGGACCTGAGGGTATAGTGGGCTAAGTCTTTTTATGCCGGGGTCCTAAAGTGTGGCCCCGGGCCGTTTGCCTTGGCACAGGCAACCATAGGCGGTGCTCTGCTCTCATCAGCAGCTGCAATAAAGGCTGCGAGCTCTCTGTTACAGGGACTGCATCAGTATTCAGCAGGTCTGGAGGGGTCACATCACACACAAGCTTGTACTCGCATCAGACAGACATATCAGCAGCAAGGCAGGAAGAGAGAGAATGAGAGGAAAGAGGGGGCAGGGGAGAGAAGGTGGAAAGGATTACATGTCCTACCAATAGATCTTTAGGTCATTGTTCAGGTAGCTAAATTGTAAAGGAGCAGAAATCAATACCAGCGCAGACAATAGGTTAGGTCCTGCCTCACAGCGAGGAAGCTATTTACATTTTTACACTCCGAGTGGTTTTCTGCTATTTGACAATTTCATCCATTATAGGAACATCCAAGGTGCAGATTATGAAAATTAACTGAGACCCATGTTGTAGGAGCATAACAGTCCATTGACTCAACACACACTGATGTGCACAGCTGCAGTGAGACACACACCATCCATTCTATCACCATTAGCAATGTATCATCCGCAGGCGGCTGGGAAATGCAAATCAGACTGTAAAGCAATTTTCTTTCATCTAGACAACAGAGATGTTCCTGGAAACTTTGCATTGAGGTTGACTTTTTTAAATTTCCAACCATGGATGACCAGCACAGTGTGTGCACGTAACGCACACGCGGTCAATGTAGCCGCCCACAGACCCACTGGGGCGTGGGATTGGTGCAAACCAAAGGTCAGCGTGAGTGACATCATTAAAATGTGACATCATTAAAGTGTCCTGCTGCTGTGGGCAAGCACGGCCTGAGGGAAATCCCTACCAGCTCGCCGCCACTCATCAGGGACCTATGTGTGTATGTGTGACTGTGTGTGTGTGTGTGTGTGGTCTGAGCAGAATGGGCCTGATGGAACATGTGCACTTTGCTAAATTTACGAGGACGGATGATAGATCCAGACACCAGCCTGTATGATCTTTGGCTTCAGACTGACTTCATACCACTTACAAGACAAGGAGAAAACCAGTGAATGGGCACACACACATACACACACACATTCATGGTATACGAGGTGTGACGATCAGCCATAAATTACAGCAATAAAAAAAATAACAAAAGTAGACGTTCCTTGTTTGAAAAGCGCAGATGGGCCACAGACCAGACAGTGCTTAGCTTTAAGGAGCCACATTTTACACCCTGGGTAACTCTCGCCCACTTTTTCCTGATCAAATGAATGACACAGAGTGAAAGAGTGAGACGCTGGAAAAGGGAAGATCCCCTACTGTTTTCTCATCTCAGTGCACACATCAAACAAAGATATCCATAACACCCACTCCCACCCCCACTTCACTTCTCCTCGCTCTCAACCAGTGCCTGTGTGTTTAGCAGTGACAAGGAATCATCTGTAAGAGCGGGAGCGCAGCAAATGATCATGCTCTGCCATATTTAAATGACGAAAGGAAAAAAAATTGAGGAAAGCAGCAGGAGAAATTGTGAGAATGAGACTCTGCTTTCTGAGCCTTGACTTTGTCTCTCCTCCAACCTGCAGTGGCATCAGTAACCTGAGCTGGTGGCAGCTCCGACCCACCCTGCAGCCACAAATACATCCCCTCCATCAACCCATGTGTACCCTCCATATGCCTCTACCTATGCTATGCCATCAAATTCTGCACATAATTTGTGAGGATGCGCTATTTGATTGTTAAATTATGGGACTTTCCGTCATATTTTAAATGTGTTTCTTTTTTTTGTCAAACCTCATGGTAAGTGGGTGGTGAAATGTGTCTGGTGTGAAAGAATTTGAGGCTGCCCCATGCTGCAGAGACTATAAATAAGAGCTGACTACACTGTAAATAAAACAGTGCTTCGAACTGAACAATATGGATCACCTACTGATCAAATATTTGTTAAAAATGAGAATAAAAGAGAAGAAAACAGACATCCACATTATGCACATAGACTGAAATCTTGTATTAATCTGTGGCTGTGTTTTACAGCATTACATTATGTTTTGTAGATCAGTCCCAGCAATGAGAAGCCTTTAGTTCCCAATGGTTTTATTACCTTCTGATATCAGTCCAGCAGTTAATGTCCATAACTGCCCTGCATAATAAAATAAAGTTATTATAATCAGTGAATGGGGACTGAGGTCGTAATAAGATTAACAATGGCTCTTTTATCTTTAATCAATGTTTGATGTTGATCAATGATCTAAGCAGCTCGAGGAGGAGAGGTGGAGCTGATCGGTGGAACATAAGGGAACTATATCGCATCAATTAGTTAACAGGCTGATCATCAAGGGGCTGATGTGTGGTCAATGAGGAGGAAACACACATGTGCAGGAGCAGCATTTAGAGCAGCGGGGCTGCAGGAAACAGCTATTGTTCAAAGCTGCAGTTATGAGCGTGTACAGTAAAAATATACTGTGTGTATGTGTGTGTGTGTGTGTGTGTGTGTGTGTGTGTGACAGAGAGAGAGAGATCCATATTTCAGTGTCTCAAAATGAGGGCACCTTCTCTGTCTAATTCTTTCAACAAGTGAACACATGACAGACCAGATCCATTCTTTCATCACTAATTCATGTTATTGTACTGCTTCACATATTTACTACACAGACTCCAGACGCTGGAACAGCTGTACAGGAGGCTTTACTCCACTGCTGCTCACAGTACATACAGATTAAAGCCCTGATTCCCCTCGGTCAGGATGGTCATCCTAAAATAGCAGGCATGATGGGAAGCCACCTCATCATCTCCTGCTATTGACACCACAGCTACAGGCTGAGCTACAGGCTCCATGTTTGTAACAATTGAGCGGAATATTCCTTTAATGCCCTACAGCAGTTTATGGTGTGGGTGAGGTGATTAAAATGCGCTTTAAATGGCATTTAGGCACTTTATGGGCCAGATATATATTTATTTTTATCACCCAGGCCATTCATCCTACAGTGACATTTGCGTAATAAGTATTTTTATGGTTCCTTTAATATTCCTATGCAGTGACTTATCTTGCCTTGATATCAGATCCCTCCAGCTACAGCCTCAGGTTATTTTCTGTGCTGGTAAAACAGCTTAAAATGAGCATTTTTTCCCTTTTTAAATACCTTCGGTTGCATAGTTGTGGTCGCGAAGGAAGCTGTTGTTGATTTTCCGGGTGTCACTCTCCTCCTCCATTGATAAATCGACTGGTTCGGGATCCTGAACGCGGCAGACCTGCTCCCATCCTGCCCGGTACCGTCAGCAGGCGGGCTGTGGGACCAGCGGGGGGCCTGTCATGGCTCCAGATCTCCGGTGTAATCAACACAATCACGATCAAATGCCTGTGATGATGAGGATGCTGATGATAATGATGATGGTGATGATGATGGTGATGTGCGGGCAGGTCCTGTCCACACCTCAGGGCGCATCCAACCGCCCACCGTCCGCGACGCAGTGACAGTGCCGATTCCAACAGTGGATTTAATACCCTAATTATGATAGCGCATGAGGTCCTCTTGCTTCACAGACATGTGGATCTCCCAAAAATATGCTCATTATCACCACAGAGCGCCTGTAGAGCCAAAATGAAAGAAATGTCTTCTTGAAGGTGGCTGAACTCGCAGCAGCAGCAGAAGCAGCGCACTCCGTAAATCTCTTGTGGAGGATTTGAGTTTAGGCAGGCGAGATTTGCCCCCCTCCCAGTGCCAGCGGGGCGGGCGGGATTATGCGTCAACAAGCTTGCTCCGATCACTTCACTGTTTCCATGTCAGTGTCTCAGCTCCGCGCATCTCCAGAGTCGCACCTTCGCCTTTCTGTATCCAAACCCTGCAGGGTCCCCTCTCTCATTCATTCACTCACTCACCGGCGCCTGTGATCCCGGCAACTCAGCTGACTCACTGTGATAGCGCAGAGAGAGCAGAGCTGTGCTGTAGTTACCCACAGTGCTGCTGCTGCTGCTGCTGCGCCTCAGCAAAGGAGGGCCCCTCCCATGCTGCCTGGCGGCTGGCTCTTTAAAAAAACACAAGCAGCAAATGTGACGCTCACTCGAACCACCACCACCAGCGCCACAGAGGAAGAGTTCATATTCTGCTTGCTCACAGCTTGACGACCACCTACAAGGTTCGTGCGTGTAAAGCCGACAGCTGCCTTATGGCCTGGTAGCAGGTTGCCTCATAAGTAGATCCTGCATCACCATCCCTCCTTCCTGCTGCAGAGGCATCTATACACTGTCATTTCTATGCTTTCCTCTTTGCATCTAGATCCAGTTCTCTCACAGCGGCTGTGCACGAGGAGAGGACAACAGAGGCTTTATAGCATGTGTGGTAGGAAGCGCATGACATGGCACATTTCTGTCCAAACACTTCAGATGGGGCGTGAAGTTCAGATTCAGAGAAATCAGGGCAGACAGGGAAGGACGAGTTCAGAAAGGGAGAAGACCGGAGAGCAACAAAGAGGGACAGAAAAGAGGGCAGAGAAAATGAAAAAACCCAGACACTGATTAATTAGATTAGTAGGGCCGTGCTGTCTGTGCCTCTTTCTGGAAAGATCTCATTTCCATGCTGAGTTATCCAGCCTTCTTCTGGTCAAACTATAAGCTTTGATGAGTGTGTGCGTTGCATCAGTGTGGCCGCACTCACAGTGCATCCCTGCCCTTATCTACTCACTTTACTCTAAATCTCTCAGGCTCCACAAAGGGACTGGGTATCTCCCCTGCACGAGCCTCAACACACACACAGAGCAGTGGCAATAAAGAGATTGGAGCCCCCTCTCCTAAATGCATTAGCTCTCTAATCCATGGGACCATTTGCACATCCAATCCTCTGCTCCTGTCCTAATGGGTATCTGGCTGTGAGGGTGGCAGCCTGCTCGTAGCAGAAAAACAGGGCCTTCCTACACATGCTATTTTACACCCCATCACCCTCCAACCTCCATCTCCATTGGAATACATTACAGGGAGTTATCCATGCAGGGGGATAATGAAGGTTGCTGGAGCATCAGCGAGGGCCATGCTTCCGTATTTACAGTCCTCTGCTCCCTTAATGAAATCTGCAGAGAAACCCTGCCATCCTTGACCCCCTCAGATCTGACTGAGTGGTCAGCGGTGCTTTCCATCTCTATCAATATTTAAACAGGCTCTATGAGGACAAAAGAAACACGGCGCGTCCCTCTTCCACAAAAGACTTCGGCTAAGTTACAGCTGAGCAGCGAGACCAAATGAAATTGAAATGGAATCAGGGAAAACAATGGATTTCGTAGAATGAAGCAGCATGGATGAGAGGTTCAGGTTTGTCAGATTTTGTTGGGAGGCGTGGGGGAAATTACGAGGCAGAGAGACAGACAGATGAAGGGCAGGGGTGGCAGTTAAAGGCACGGAGATATTTGACTGTATAATGAGGGAATAAGTGGGTGAATGCTGCTTGGAGCCAGAGCCTGGGATCAATGCTGCCTCTCTAATAACATCTACCATCTCTCTCCTTGCCCCTGTCCCATTGCCTGTGCATATATGCCAATCTCCTCACCCCTTAACCCCCCTTCCACTTCTCTTCCCTGCTCTCCTGCCAAAGCAAAATATGAACACGCTGGCTCCTTTGCCAATGGAAAGCATCTCAGAGCAACAGCCCTGACTGGAAACCAGTCTGGCTCTTAAATTGATGCAATCACATGACCTTACAAGTGATCGCAGGTCAATACACACATAGTCTAAGATCCTTCACTCAGAAGGCCTTATGTTTCTGCACCCTATGGCTCATTTATTGCTCCCCTCCCCTACCTCCAGCTTGTTCTCCTCTACTACCTCACTTCTCTCGCTCATTACACCCCATATCCCACTCCGCTGAGTAAAGGGCCAGTGACGGCGTGTCTACAGCCCAGCTGCTGTGTGTCAGACTTGCAGGAAATGCTCGGGGGGCCACCAGAATTGGAGAGCGTGTCCTCAATTCTCCTCGATCGTATGGACAAAGTGGGTTAAATTAGGCTCCAGCAACCCAAACATAGGGACACAATCACATGGCAATGATATTTTAGTCATGCCCAATTGCTTTCCTTGATGTGTGGTAATTGCTTGACCTGGGGATGCCGTTGTAGGGCTACAGGCAGCAAAGACGCTGTCTGCATACCAAGCAGCATACATGCACATACACTTACACATGAGTAGAGATATTTGACCACACGGCACACTTACACTCCACCTTTACTGCAGATCTCTCATAGCTCAAGATTGCAGTCAATGGTATATTGACCACTGGATAATAACTAGTTTATGCAGGGTAGAATATTGATCATTTTCATCCAGTTAATCCAAGAAATATGAGATTAAGATAAATCAATACAAACTCTGTTTAAGGCCGGAATTGTTAATCAAAGTCTGCAATGGATCAAGTATAAATGATAGAACAACTAAAAGTGGAAAATGTATCATTGCGCAGTAAACTGAATTGACTGATAGACAGTGATGCAATTGTAGATGATGTCTTTCTCAACAGTTAGTAATCACACGGCTGATGAAACCCATGAAATTTTATTAAACACCTTTGAACACAAGATATGCCACTAAGATTTACCAAAAGATTTGCAAAGCGGAAATTGAAATTTCCCACTAATGTTAGTATAAAATGACTTAATATGAAGAAATAAAACCTTTCAATGCTTTTGTGTAAAACTCTGTTTTTTAATAGTTTACCAGACAAAAATGGACTGCAGATACATACAGTGTCTCGTCTGCAGCAAGTTTCACAGTGTCTGCAGGTGGGAGAAAGGGTGCAAAATCTAATAGAGTATGTAATCTTACATTGTGATATTGATGTATAAAGTAATGCCTCTGTACTCTCTGTGCTGTTTAAATATAAAATAACCAGTCAGGAATGACTGTTGTTGGCTAATACAGTGAATTAAGTGCCTGTAAAACAAAAGTGCATCATCACAGTGACGCCAAAATCATACAGACAGACTATGTCTTGTCAAATGAAGCTCTAGCGAAAGTTCAGTCAGGAAGACCATACTTTTCATGCTCAGGCTGTAAGTTTCTTTCTCACCCTGCCATTCATTCCTTGCACGTAAGCTCACTCACTATCTTTAGGTGTCATCGTCTGGGTAGGTCAATTGAGTCATCAGCTGATTCACAATCAACCAATAGCACAGCGACACGTCTTCTCTGTCAGCCTATCATCTTACTGCTCCTCATTTTAAATATGGTTCTTTCTCTGCTGTAGTTCTTTCTTGCTGCACTTTCAGCACCATCCACCTCCCCATCACCACCCAGTCTTTATGGATTCTTCAGCCTCATATGCCTCAGCAGTCAGCAGCCTCAGAGTCAGCAGCCACCACCACCACCAGTGTCTGGACTCCATGGGGAGATTTATCCTGCTGCCACTCAGATGTCCTTCTATCACAAAATATCTTCCTCTGGTGTCCAAGAGCCAAAGACTTCTGTTAGATCTTAATCTTAATTTGTACCCTCATATTCTGTATTAATTATTATCTTGACTTCATTCTTCTGTCTCTCCTGATTGAACTAGTCTGTAGCCATGCTAGTAAGGTTGCTCTGCGAGGCTGTCGTTATGAGCTAAATGCTACCATGGCAACATGTACTGACTTCAAATTGGAGTCATAATTATCATGTTCACAAGAGGAGTTCAAATGAACACCCCCCTCATATGGTATTCATAATCTATCAAGTGGAATTTTCCAAAAGCTCAGAGTTCACAAGTTGTGACCTGTTTTGCTGACGTTCACTTCATTTTTCAGGGGATGGTAAGTTACGATATTGTAAATTTAGTTGTATAGAGTTGCTCTTTATAATGTTATTGTACATCTGAGGGAAATGTTGATATGATGATAATGATGATGATTGGTAGTTTCACTTAATGGTCAGAAAAAAAATCTGAAATTTGTCTTGCGTTCCAGGATGTCAACAGTTTCAAATAAATACACATAACTACAAAAATGCAGAACAACATTTAACCAAATGACAATATCCCCAACAGCCTCATCTTTTATCTCTATTATTATGCCTTTGCATTTCCTGCATCACAGTAGCTTGCTAAATAGTTAGGGTCAGTGGCTTCTAGAGCTAACAGTGGTGTCCATGTTGCCTAGCAGCAAATTTCTAAGCTGAATCAATTCAATGCCAAGCATATTGTACACAACTTCTCATGTCAGAGCCATGAGCTCACGAGTTCCATTAAAAGGCAGCAATGCTCACAATATCAATGTTAACATGCTGATGTTTAGCAGGTGTAATGTTTTCCATGCTCACCATCTTAGCATGTTAGCATGCTAATATTAGCTAATCAGCACAACACAAACTAAAGCTAAGCTCAATAGCTGTTGAAACATTTCACTTAAAACACAAATATGAACCTCATACTTACACAAAAGGAAGTCATCAGGTCACAATGTTGAGGAAATGCGCGCAATGTGTGCACAAAATTTTGTACGAATCCATCAAGTCAAAACTTTGACCTCATGTCGGCACTACAGTCATTCAGATTAATCCTGCTGTGCACAATGAACAGGCTATCTGTACAAAATCTCAAGACAATCTGCCCAATAGTTTCCAACAAATTTCAGTAGAATGGTGGTAGAATGGTAGAATCCATTGACCAACCGACCAATATTGCCATCCATAGATCCACAAGCATGGTTAAAAACTCAATAATGTCATAAAGTATTCCTGCTAATGGATTTACACTATTGCACACAATGTTTTTGTACAGTCAGAGATTAAATGGAATAGACACCGCATGTAAATTTAATGGCAAATCTCTTATGGTGGACAGATCTATATCATCTAATGGTACATGCAGTCACAATGCCCAACACTATGTTAGAGGCCAGGCAGTAGTGATGAGATGCCTAAAAAGTCACTTTCTTCATCTTTGCTGGACAAGGATGAAATCACTATGTGAAATATATACAGTAAAGCCTATTTAGTGGCTGAGCTGATTTAATATGACATCCCTCAGTGAGACACACTGTATCAGAGTGCACTAGCTGAGCTACAAAGTCGTCATGCTTATATTCTTCACTGCCTGTCGCTGGTTTTAGATCTCCTCAAAGTTGTTAAATAAATGGTGATGATCATCATTCAGTAGCATGAGACTCTCCCTCCAAACATTCATTGCCTCCCATTAGCCATGCAACCCACCCTGGCATTAAGAGGAGCTAAACACATGGGGGTAAT